TCAGCACCTGCCATGTCCTGTCCTTATTCAATTTACAGAAGACCAAAGATGTCTAGGGAGCTCAAAGCCAGCTGGTCTAATGATGGGATTTGTCAGGGATCCTGTTTTTTTCTGATTTAAAAAAAAATCTCCAATTTTCGGTTAAAAATAAGTAACCCCAAATCCACATTTTTCCATGATTAAAATGACGCACCACTATATATAGATTTACATATTAGTGGTGTTTCATTTAAATCATGGGAAAATGTGGATTTGGGGTTACTTATTTTTAACCGAAAATTGGAGATTTTTTTTTAAATCAGGAAAAAACAGGATCCCTGACAAATCCCATCATTAGACCAGCTGGCTTTGAGCTCCCTAGACTTCTTTGGACTTCTGTAAATCGAATAAGGACAGGACACGGCAGGTGCTGATTTTTGTTACACTGATGGGGCTGGACCAGCTCACCAAACTGTGACTGTGGTGCCCCTTTTCAAACTCTGAACCACATCAGCCCTGAATGCCCTCTCTGTGCATTTAACCAAAAATTGGAGATATTTTTTTAATCAGAGAAAACTAGGATCCTTGGTAATAATAATTTATATATTAAGGGGTGAATTGAGCCACTCTAGTGTCCAGGCATCTTGGCTGTTAAGTGAGTCTTGCTCAAGCTGAATTGCTATTCTCCAAGTGGGATGTCTAGATTTTCATCCAGATGCTTCAGTGGGTTTAAGGGATCTTTGTCTATAAGTCTTTACTTGGAAAAAAATGAGACTGTCCTGGAGGGTAGTGTGAGGAAATCTGTGAAGCTTTCCAACTGTTTACTTGGAAAGTTTCACAGACCCAGGTGGGTACAGAACATACCCCCTTTCACCTACCTGGGAAAGGGATTCCCCCAACCCAGTGGATCCTTTCCAGTACCTGGAAGGCAAGAGCTCTTCATGTAACAGCCACTGGTATCCTGTGAATTTCTTTATCCCTGCCATTCCTATAGAGAGATAGTGCTAGCTGCGCACAGCTTCTCTTGAGTCCAGCTCCACAGGGAATGGGATCTCCAGAAGGTTTAATACATCTGGCATTAGTGAGTGAATGCAGTCCGTCTGCAACTATCCTTCCATAACTTCCATCAGCTATAAAATATGCACATACGCAGTCACTGTAACCAGCACAAAGGTCCAACTTCCAGTTTGGTGGAAGCTGTTTCATTGTGTGCAGTCACACAGGAGTTTAGGAAAGGAAGCAAAAATAACCTGTTTTGGGGTTTTTTTGCAAAGGAGGATGACAATGCTATGTATGAAGGATAATTTGTATTGTGGGAGTTTGGTTAGGATTCTCCTTTCTTTTCAAAGCCCAAAAAAATCTTTAATGGCCCCAGGTATTCAAGACATTGACTTTTGTCTTAGTCAAAAGTCCTGCACACCTGCAGTTATTTTCACAATGAGCATTTTGCAGCTGGGTACTTTTTCTACCCATCTCTCCCTCTCTCTTTCTCTCTACTGTTTTTTTTTTAATGGCACCAATTTGAGAAGAATGGGGCAGAAAGATTGTAAAGGAAGAAAAATATGCTCTAATCCTAGTCAAGGTATATTAAGTTCAGTAATACTCAGACATGACATAAGTGTTTGGAATTTGTGTATGAATAAAATTAAGAATTTTCTATGGCTAGAAGGTATCCGACTGTCAGAAAAAGGATTGTAAGCTATAAAATCCCGTGAAAAATCACACAGACAAGAGTTAGACAAATGTGCTGTCTTTACTTAGCAAAGGAATCGTGGTGGATATGCAAATAGAGAACAAAAATGACACATTTTTGCTTGATTCAAAGGCATTATCCATAATAGCATCTGCAATGTGTCTGCTATAGAAGGGCGTAAATTGGAATTTACATAGCAGCTTTTAAGAGCGAGGCTCTGACTCAGAGTCTGAAGGGGATGGCTGTGCTAGGAAAAGTCAGCCCGTATCAGGAGAACTTCACAAAAGACCGATTGTGCCTACTTGGAGTCACCTGCATGCTCTCCCTGCGATTCACACATACCATACATCTCAGGCATCGTCTCTAATGGAAACTTGAATAACTGGACTAGGAATCCATCAGTATGTTGAATCTTGTTTGGCAAGTTATTCTCTTTTGGATGAATTAAGTGCTTGTGAAAGGTGAAAGATTGACAGCCCCTGGAAACTGATATCCTCTGCTTATGTTAGTCTCCCTCAGCCTAAGACTTGAGATGCTACCCCTCTGCATACAAATAGATGAATTATCCCACTGGCTAAATTTTTGACTGCCAAGTTGGCAGCATTTGGACTGCACTTGCCTACATTCCTTCTGCTCTTATCAGTTGTGACATGTATACTGCTGATGATAATCAAGAAAAGCCTGGCTGCTTCTTCTCAAGAGGGGGAAAAAGGCCTAGACCATGTCACTGGTGTATCTGAGCTAGGCACAAGATTTCTTTTTTCTGCCACCCCTTCCTGCCAGCATGATTCTCATTATTGCATACAAGTAGCAGGGCCTGCAAGATCCCCTGGGCTTAGAGCATGGCTGGATGGTTTGGTTGACACTGTACCATCAGGCTGGAATAAGATCTGATTTGATCCTATTCTTCCTTTGTCCCGCTGTAATCTCAGCCTGCACGACATACCAGCCATTTCCCTTTTTGTAGTGGGTGCTTGGTTGTGTAGAAACATCAAGGAGACCTGAGCGCTTGATCAGGCTCTAGCTGTGGAGTTGCCAGTTTAGGCTGAAGCTCTGGTGGGATGGGGGTGACACCTCCTTATACTCTGTTAGACTCCCTTATACCTCCTTGCCCCTAATCTGTCTGTGTATAAGGAAGCATTAGCCAGTGTAATTTAGGAGAAGGAAAAGGGCAACTGCATTAATACACACCTGCATTTGGCTGCTTCTTACATTATGATAGACCACCATAAACTCTCTGAGACATTGGTAGAGTTGGATGGGAGGGAAAGTCTAGTGTGAAAGGAAGTGGGAAGGTCTCACACGGCACCCCCGATTTTGGTTTTACAATTCCAAACGTGGTCTAAAGCAGGGCTGTCTGACCAGTGGCCCGTGGGCGGCATACAGCCCCTTGAAGAGTTAAGCTTGAGACCTACAAGATCCCACCCAACCATCACTCCTCCCCTTAGTTGCCCCACCAGCTGGGAGGCTTCTATAGTGCCCAAGATGCACGAAAAGCAAAGAAGGGAACCAGCAAGCACTACAGATGTTGGTATTCTTGGTTGGGAGGGTGCATGTGCTGCACGCATGGCCAGAGCTGGGGGAGGCTAGACAGCCAGTGAGGTGCACAGCCCTTGCAGCCTGCGGTTCCTGGATGCCCAGAAGTTGGACAGCCCCGGTTAGGGCTCAAATCCAAGCTTCAGCTGTGCTCCTCAGTAAAGGTTTGCTCCCTTGTTGTGCCCACCACTTCCAATCAAAGATCTTTTGGTGCGTTTGGTAATGCACTGTGAGTCTCCCCACTCTTTGCACAGCAGCCACTTCATTTCTTTGCCAGTCCTTTTCAGTCTGGTTGGTAGAGGCCACTGCATCAAAGACAGGCCTTGTTCTCAGCTGAGCTGTGACAATTATTATTATTTATAGTGTCATTCAGGAAGGATTATATGTGTTGGTTGGTTGGTTTGTGTTGCCTGGTAGAGCTTCAGTCATGTGCCAGGACCTCCCTGGGCTAGGGACTGCACAAATCACGGACAAAAATGGCTCTTCTGTGCAACCTGCAATCTAATCACTCATTACTTAGCAAATGTCCCCATTTTTATTGCTCTGGCAGCAGGCTGAAGTCACAACCTAGGAGGAGGATGTACAGGTCTTCAGGTCTGTAAGCTACACTTAAAAAAAGATAAATGGCAGTTGGAGTTGTGGGGAAGGGGCCAGAGTTATGATAAGGATACCTGTTTAATAGGATCAGGTCTCAGATGATCACTTCCTTGAGATGGATACCAAGCACCCATGTGTGTACAACTTGCAGTTATTAACTCACTGAAATAGGTGTGACAGAGGTTAAGCAATCTGCATCCCATTGCAAGTACCCTGAGCTATCCATCTGTCTCCTAAATCCTGAACCATATTTTACTTTTGCTTATGTTTCCTGAGTAAGATGGGCAAAATCAATTATTTAGCAGCTAGTTTCAGCCCATAGTCATAATCTGTTCTACACTTTCCTGATGTTTGTGTACTTTTCTGGATTCATTGAAAAATAGACAAATAGGACTGAGAGGAACCTCTGGAGGTCATCGAGTCCAGCCTCCTGCTCAAGGCAAGATCATGCTTAACTACACCATCCCAGTCAAGCATTTCTCTAAAATACTATTTGTCTTACTTCTCTCCTACAACTCCATCCTGATCAGGTTTTGGCCAATAATGGTAGTCTCTGGAATTTTATACAAAATCTAACCCTATATGTATCCTTTCTGTTTCTCCCCACTAACTGTTTCATTTAATGGGTACCTGTGTTTTTTAGGATTGTAAACATTTTTTGTACTTATTTCAGTTCTTCTCCATCAGTTCATGCTGATTTTTTGCAAATCATGTGAACAAGCATTAATGAAGTATTATGGCTTGCTTCAATCCAGAATAAATTTATCTAATCTACTATATTCTCCCTAGCTTCTGGTTTACTTGGCAAATTCAGCCATAATAGTAGGAATAAACTTCAGTTAACTTAAGAATAAAAAAAACCTTATTTTTATCGCACAAAAATATAAGGCTTAAAGCCTTATGGCCCTGGACTGATTTGGTTTTACATGTTCTACCACAAACCTGCATCAGAGCGAATTTGGCTATTGGGGCATCTTTTGAAACACGCTCATCTGGGGGCTGTAGATTTATTAATCAGTTTGTAGGTCAAAACATGTTTAATTAGAAGTAAAGGAACAAGAATGACCATGAGTTTCATTTAATACACGTGGCCTTATAACCTTTGTATCTCTCCGAACTACCTGTACAGAAATGGAGATTCATTGCTTGAACTGGCTGAAATCCTGAAGTTTGCAAATACTTACTTATGTTTTAGATCATCCACCGAATCTTCAGAACCATCCCAGACTTCGGACTCCTCCACCTCCAATATCACATGCTCACACACCAAATCAGCATCATGCGGCCTCCATCAACTCCCTGAACAGAGGGAACTTTACTCCCCGCAGCAACCCCAGCCCCGCTCCTACCGATCACTCTCTTTCTGGAGACCAGCCAGCCAGCACCCAAGAGCCAGCCCATGCTCAGGACAACTGGTTACTCAACAGTAACATCCCACTGGAGACAAGGTAGCCTACTTACTTGAACTGTTTACTGTGCTTTGTGTTCAGATGCCTGTGTACAGCATAGACAAAAGTATCCATTTAGCCAGAAGTTCAAATTGTAAACCGATGTTTAACTTATGCATTCAGAGTTGTACGTATTATTCCCCGTGTCATTTATTTACCTCGAGAGAAGAAGAAATTGCTCTATTTCCATAGGCTACAAATATTAACAGCTGCTTGTAAGGTTATGGTCCTCATTTAGAATGGGGACAAGGATTGTCAATTAAAATTTTTTTTTTTAATTTTTCCTTTAAAGTCTTCTTGTCCTATGTGGTAAGATAAATCAACATCCTATTTAAGAAAGTAAAACAAGTCAATATATTGAAAAGATTTAGCCTGCTGGCTGTGCTTCTTCCAGCAGATATAATTGTAGTTTATCATTCAGGAAAGGTTGATCTTGTTAGACCTAATGGGAAGAGGACTGTTGATGCATTTTACTGCCCCACAATAATGCTCCAGCAAGTATGAAGCACTGAATAGCAGTGCATCGGTCAATTAATATTGCTTCCATTAACCTCTCAGGTTCTCTTCCATATGTGTTGTGCCTTTCTGAGTCTTCAGGTTGGTATGTCACAGGACTTTCCTACATAGCCTTAAGTAACTTGCTTGGCTTAAAAGGTGTTTTCATCATAAAACTGCCCAAGATTTCAGCAAACCTTTCAGTAGTGTGAAAATTGAACAATCTGCCAGCCTTCTTGAAGGAATTTTTTTACATTTTACATCTAGATAATATTGAACGTTCATATCTGTAAAGAAGTAAACACAATATAAATAAGAAATTGTCAATAGATCTGGTATTCTTCTACCTTCTCCTCAACCAATACACCCAATGAATAATGTGCAAAATTACCTGATTCTTTCCTTTGTTGTTAGCTAGAAGAACAGTCATAAATCTTTATGACTACACTTTCAAAAGATTCCTTAGGAGAGTAACTAGAAGGCTAAAGCCAGAGTTGAGTGCATCTATTGTAAGTAGGGACTCAAAAACATAAACCACAAAGTTTTGTATTGCTCCACATCCTTTAGCTCTCCTGGATTTTGCTTGACATCTTGAAAGTGGCTAAATTAATTCTAGCATCTCCCAAAAGTTGTTCTTGCTCTCAGAGGGCGTCCATTTGTAGCTATATCCTCTCAGTACCAACATTTGCACACCCATGGTTGTATGGATGATGAAAAAGATACTGCAAACATTGTTTAAAACCAGTCTTCTTCACCCATACAATCCAGATAATCTGCTAATACAACTTCTGAAAAGAGTTAGACTGACACTTCTCTCGCCCTTTATCCACTGCTTAGATGAGAGACAGGGAAAGTGCACACTTACACCCAAATTCTCTGTCACAGGGAACCACTGACATGAGCCATCCTCAACACACACAGGCACTGACATTCAGCCTGTTATACACAGGCATGCACATAATTTTTCCAGTTCTAAAGTTTTCTTCCTTCAACTACCACCCCACTCCACAATTTCCTTCACCAAGAAAGAGGCTGCAGAGGTAGTGGAGTCTTTGGCCTCAGAATTAGTATCTTTACCACTGTCCTTTGGCATGAGGAAGCATCTTTTGAGGGGGGGGGGGTGTGTGCAGAGTTTCTTAAATAGGTTGTTGATTACCTATAGATATCACTTAGTGCCAGGGTAGGAAACAACATTTACTAACCCCCACGACCAAACTAAGTGCCAAATTTGTCCCTTCGCTGAATGCGTAACTCAGTGAGATCAGTGGCAGCTGTGTACGGATATTTTCTAGAGCAATCTCTAGAGCAAAATCTATCTGCTTTAGCCATCTTGAGGGGGGGAAGGGGGCTCCAGTGAAAGCATAGCATTAAAAAGCAGGTGTATTTTTGACCTGTTTGAGAAGGAACCCTGTTTTCAAGCCCCATCTGAATCCCTGCTTTATGCCTTGGTTTAACATTTTACAGCATTTAGGGCTAATTGATTTCTCTGGGACTGACTGCCTAATAAGACCCAACCAGGAAACAAGCTCTAAAAGATTAGGAGAAAATTAAATGTTAGTACTGCAAGTGTGATTTGGCAACAGTTGCAGTAATTATAGAAGGTTACTAATTCTTGAGAGAGAGAGAGAGAGTGCGTGCACGCACGTGCACGTGTGTGTACATGCATGTA